TACTAAAAAAAAAAAAAAAAAAAAAAAAAAAAAATTAAAAGGGAAAAGATGCCCAGAAGAGCATAAGCAAAGAAGAATGGAGCATGAGGTACGTAAACAAAAATGAATAGACACACACATGACTATTCGTATCCAGCAGTTAAGCAGAGCTCTGCACTGGAACGGTTCATTACCTCCTATCTTGGTTATTTAAAATGCTAGTTGATTAAACCTCAGTTCCTAATCCAACGACTTTTTGTCCTTATCCCAGCGTCATAAAAGAGAACTTATATCCTCAATTGCAGTGGCTTTTTATTGGAGTCCTCCTCCCCTGGGGAATCTATGAAATCAAACACTGAGATTGGCACCCCACGCTCAGGGAATAAATAAAGTGTCCAAAGTGACGGTGTTGAATCCCTTACAGTACGTTGGTCTACAGCTTCTTTTTCAGTCCTGCAAGCACTGGATCTTTCTTTTAAAACACAAAGAGAGGGAGAGAGAAAGAGAGGTAATTGAGAAGTAGTAACACTCTCATGCAGAAACATGAAAATACCTGACCTTAGAAACAGGCCCCCAAAAGCTAATTCTTAATACTCTGCTCAGATGTAAACTGGACCTTTGTTCTCCCTTTTGAAGTTTATGAACTGCATTAGAAAAATATTATTTCGTAATTTCATATGAGTTATTTTTAAATGTGTTCAAACACATAATTAAGTAATATTAAATAGCCCCCGGTGATCAAGCAAGACATCCAACAAGTTGAACGTTTCAGTATGTTCACCTGCAAGGAAAAAGAAAAAAAAGAGATGGGGTTCCCACCTTCCCAGCCTCAGTCCCCGCAGTTATCCATTCCAGGGCCCTGTACCCCATTCGTTGTGCAATCTTTTTCAAACTCCACCCACTGAGCTCCAGAACAAGTGGAATTCTCCCATTCTGAAAGAGGTCTCAATTTTCCTATACCTAAGGAGGGACTGAAAACTCCTTGACATGAGTCAAGTAAGGCAAGGGGAACAGTCCGGCCTGTTTCCCAGATTAAGAAAGACCCAAGGCCAGGGTCGGGAAGGCGTTCAAGTTTCCGCTCATCAAATTTAAAAAACTAATAATAAACGAAAGAAAGAGAAAAAGAAGGTGATGGTGGTAAATAGGGCTGGGATGACGCGATATCCTAACTCTGCAGGACCGAGGTCCTCCAACATCGCCTCCCCATCCATCCCCAGCCCCACGTGCAGCCAAGCCCTCGGAGCCCCGGAGTCTAGGTCCTGGGGACCGAGCGCCCCGCTCGCACGGGCCCTGCGACGCTCACCCGCTCGTCTGCCCGCCCGCGCAGTGGCGGGGAGTGCAGGGGAGCGGGAGAAGGGGGGCCAAGCACACCCCGGCTCCCGCGCGGTTATCTTACTGCGCAACAGCCTAGCTTGAGCGGCCCGGGGGCACCCTGCAGCGCGCCCTGAGCACCTGCCGGACGCGAGGAGGGCTAGCCCAGGACCCCAGCGAGCCCCCAGACGGCGGCGCTCAGCGCTGGGAGCACGTTGACGGCGGGGGCTGGGAGATGCAACGCCTGGCGCCGGGATCCCAGTGGTGCTGGCCGCACGTGGCTGTCACACCTGGCGCACCCCCGCCTTGCACCTCTTCCTCCTTAGAACCGGGTGCGCCCCCTGCCCGCCCTCCCTCCCGGCATCCCCGCAGCGCGCCGCCAAACCCCAACCGTTGTCCCTTCCCACCCCATCTATCGCGGTCCCACCCCATCTATCGCGGTCCCACCCCCCCCACCTGCTCCCACTGTCGTCACCCCCGGGAAGGAAGAGAACCGGATATTCGTCCCGCGGCTAAAGGTAACCAGGGAGAGAGAAGAGGTGGACCCCGAAAAAGGGAGTCCGAGCATCCCCCGGGCCCGGCAACAAGGGCGTCCCCCTGACTGACCTTCTGCCGCGGGCTGCGTCGCCGTCCGCCCCGTCCGACCTCAATCGCCTCTTCGGCGCCGCCGCCTCTTCCCCGCGCTGCCTCCTCTACTCGCGTCGCCATGAGGTGACGGCAGCAGCCAAACAAGCGGCCCGACAAGGGGCACGGAACCTCTCCGGGCCTTTCGCCCCGCCCCCGAACCCCCAGGGCCAATCGCCGCATGCGAGACTTCACACGTGACCGGAGGAGGTTGGCCCCCGAGGGGACGGAGCGAGATGGGGGTGGGGAGCATTGAACACTGGGCTGGGCTTCTGCAAGACCGAAGGGCAGATAGAGGCCATGTGAGTCTGCGCGGATTGGGAATGGGAGTCAGGAGTGGACTACAAGTCCCAGCAGGGTGTGCGGCCACGGCTCTCAGGCTTGGATCGGGATTGGAACATAAGGCGGCGTTCAGAGAAAGAGAGAGTGCTGCACCCACTGGGCTTGCGGTTTCTGGGGGCGTTGTCTCGCTATAGGAAGGTACTTGTTATGATCCTTCGGGGAAAGTTTAGAAATATCCCCATGTTTGAGAAGGAGCACGATCGGGGACACATTCTTGTGTTTTTGTTTTTGTTACCGTTCTTAGGAATTGGGCGCGAATGATTTGGGAATAAGGGAAAATACTTCGCGACTTTCCAGACGGAAGGTGTATTGGCTCTTAGAATTTGAGGTTTCGCACTCGGGCACCTGCCCCGAGTCCTGCCCCTCCACCAGAGTTGTCAACACGGTTTACTTGGCCCGAGCTCCTGCGGGATAGGTGCCGCTCTGTTCACCTTCGTCGAACGCCCCCCCACCACTGCTGCACACTTACTTGGCACTTCATTCATGTTGAATGTATCCTGCTTTCTCCCACCCCATTTAGTGGTTTCATTACATAAATGTCTCAACAAACTCTGTTTGCTGAATCGAATTTTTCTTTCTTGATATGATGTTGGGAGAGAGAGGGGAGTTTTCCTTAGGAATATTCCCTATTTCCAACTGATGGAACCCGATCTCCAATGACTGAGCTTCTGAAAAGCACAGACCATCATGAAATCCTGATATATTGTCTTAAATAATTTATTATGAAAATCTGTGCAAGTCTTATATCATTTTTATTAGATTTGATTACAAAACAGTGGTAGCAGGCGCCAAAAATTTAATAACATACCTCAGGGTAAATTTCAATATTGGGGAAATTCTATCCATTACTTTTAAATATTTCTGTAAGTAGCCGGGCGCGGTGGCTCACGCCTGTAATAAAAGCACTTTGGGGCCGGGCGCGGTGGCTCAAGCCTGTAATCCCAGCACTTTGGGAGGCCGAGGCGGGTGGATCACGAGGTCAAGAGATCGAGACCATCCTGGTCAACATGGTGAAACCCCGTCTCTACTAAAAATACAAAACATTAGCTGGGCATGGTGGCGCATGCCTGTAATCCCAGCTACTCAGGAGGCTGAGGCAGGAGAATTGCCTGAACCCAGGAGGCGGAGGTTGCGGTGAGCCGAGATCGTGCCATTGCACTCCAGCCTGGGTAACAAGAGCGAAACTCCGTCTCAAAAAAAAAAAAAAAAAAAAAGCACTTTGGGAGGTCGAGGGGCGGATCACGAGGTCAGGAGATAGAGACCATTCTGGCCAACATGGTGAAACCTGGTCTCTACTAAAATACAAAAAATTAGACGGGCGTGGTGGCGGGCGCCTGTAGCCCCAGCTACTCGGGAGGCTGAGGCAGGGGAATCGCTTGAACCCGGGCAGTGGAGGTTACAGTGAGCTGAGATCGCGGCACTTCACTCCAGCCTGGGCAACAGAGCAAAACTCCGTCTCAAAAAAAAAAAAAATTCTGTAAGTTTGAAAAAAATATCATTATTTTGTTTCCTGGGCAGAACATCACAGTCTAGCTTTGTGATTTCAAAACCAAAGCATACTTTGAGACGTAGGTGACAACTGATAATAAACCGATAACTAGACTCTATAAAACTGATGACCTCAGCCACCATATCTCATATTCTTAAAGGCAAGTCCCAACAAGATGCAGAATAAATCTATCAGTAATGCAATTCTCCAGGGAATCGAGTGGCAAATGCACTGTAGTTAAATTACGGTACAATAGAATCCCACGAAGCCACTAAAACTGATAAGCATTTAAAAAATTGATATAGAAAAAATATTCCATTTATGTAGAATTGCCTGCGAGTATGTTTATAAAGAGGTGTTTAGAAGACTCTTCAGGGCTCCGGGCAGTGGCTCATGCCTGTAATCCCAAACAATTTGGGAGGTGGAGGTGGGAGGATCACTTGAGTCCGAGAGTCTGAGACCAGCCTGGACTACATAGTGAGTCCCCATCTCTACAGAAAATAGGAAAGCTAGCCGGCCCTCTTGGCATGTGCCTGTCGTCACCGCTACTGGGGAGGCTGAGGTGGGAGGAAACTCTTGAGCCCAGGAGATCAAGATTACAGCAAGTTATGATTGTGCCACCGCACTCCAGCCTGAGCCACAGAGTGAGATCCTATGTGAGGAAAAAAAAGGGGGGGAGGGGACGGCTAGGCGCGGTGGCTCACACGCCTGTAATCTGAGCACTTTGGGAGGCAGATTGCCTGAGGTCAAGAGTTCGAGACCAGCCTGACCAACATGGAGAAACCCCATCTCTACCCCATCTCCCAGCTATTCGGGAGGCTAAGGCAGGAGAATTGCTTGAACCCAGGAGGCAGAGGTTGCGGTGAGCCGAGATCGCGCCATTGCACTCCAGCCTGAGTTACAAGAGCAAAACTCCGCCT